ATTGAATGAGTATGATGCAAGTTCCCCAGACAGTTTACCAGACCATTCCATGTTAGTGGGGGCGGTGGCGAAGCCTAATGGTTAAAGCGTTGGCTCGTCACGCCGAAGACTCGGGTTCGAATCCCCACATGGGTACAATGTGTGAAGCCCATTTCTGGTGTCCCCCGCCGTGATGTTGCTGGAATTTTGCTAAAAGCGGCGTAAAACCAAACTCAGTCAGTCAGTCTATGTTAGTGTATAGTCTGGATTTATATGGATTTACAGGAAGTGACGACCATGCTGATGACAGGGACGTACAGACATGCGCAGGTGTAAAGAAGTGCAAAAAGAGACATAACCGTAGTAAACTTCCTACAAACTTCCTTGTGAATGATAGCACGATGCAACAACTGAAGGATACCATAAGTAAACTTGAAGATGAACAAAGTTCGAAATGTGAAATATACTGTGGATATAATGACTTTGTCCATCTCAGTATGTAGTGTTTGCACAATGTTCTCGGAGCTCCCAAAAGGAGAGATAATACTTACAAAAAGGAGAGTTTCAAGAAACCTTACTGGAATAATGATTTATAGTTACAGTGGAATGAAGTGACACAATATGAGCGTGCATGGCTTAAATGTAACGGGCCCACTGTTGAGAAAGCACGCCGAACACATGCTTATTGTGTTGAGTGGGAAACATTTGATAAGCTAAACAGAAAATATAAAAGAAAACATCAGGAAAACAAATAACAAAATTTGTTGGAAAAACTGAATGAGGCTGAGATTGATTTTTGGAAAGTGATTGGTACACTAGGAATAGCATGACGAGCACCAATACCCATGGCGGTGAACCCACAGCTAACGGTTCTATAGCAACTGATACACCCGCTGTGCTAGAGTGATGGAAGGCTGGTTTTAGATTCATATACTCGGGGGTCGATGACCGGGATAACGTATTTGACCAGACCCATTATGGTAATGTGAAAGAAGAACTGAGAGATCTACTTTTTTTCTGATTGGGATTGTAATCATGTATTGAACAGTCCTATCACAACAGACGAAGTACAAAACGCTGTCGAAAGGGCAAAAAATATGAAAGCGGTTGGATTAGATAATATTCCTGTGGAAATATTGAAAAATAGTGACTGTATTAATTTTCTTCATAAACTGTTTACTGTGTGCTTTGAGAAAAAATATCGTCCCAAGTGCATGGCAAGAATCTGTTTTTAATCCAATTGTTAAACTTAACACGCATTCCAAAAATCCTATGGCGTACAGAGGAATATCCCTGATATCTGTACCGTGCAAACTATACTGTGATATCTTGAATAGACGGATAACCTCATGGCTTGATTCCGCAAATAATATAGCGAAACAGCAAAATGGTTTTCGAAAGGAGAGAAGTAGTTTTGAACATATGTATAGTCTTTACACTATCATCAAGAGCAGGCATGACGGCAAACAAGAGACGTTAACATGTTTTATTGATCTAAGGAAAGCATTCGATAACGTTGATAGAGACTGCCTGTGGTTTAAACTAAGAAACTTCGGCGTGAAGGGTAAAATATTCAATACTATCAAAACACTATATGAAAATAAATCTTGTACTGTGCGGGTGAAGTTTTTTATGACACATTTTTGCACTGTGAAAAGAGGAGTTAAACAGGGATGTGTATTGTCGCCAACATTATTCTCACTGTAAATCAACGACCTAGCAGGAGATTCAAGAGAGTGATAATGGTGTGTGGATAGACAATATATGTATTGCCATATTGCTATATGCCGATGATATCGTTTTGATGGCTCCAACAGGAGCTACACTGCAACAGATGTTAAATGTACTGTGTCAGTGGTGTTCGAAATGAAGCTTCTTATAAATAAGGATAAAAAAGGTAACTCATTTTAGACATAGAAGAGTCTTTTTATAAGATTTTAACTTTTACTATGGCGCAGATGAACTGTGCTCTGCTGGATCCTACAAGTATCTCGGAGGTGAGGTTCGAGGAACATTTAGATATGAAACACAGTATTTTGGAAATATCTAAAATTGCTAATACAGCTCTATCTGTACTCAAAATACCATCAATGTGGAGATATGGCTTACGATCTTTTCACCAATTTATACGTATCAACGGTCGAACTGGTTCTCATGTATGGAGCACCCATTTGGGGACTTTCATCACAACGCCTTATTGTTGAAACAGTATTTTTGTGTTACTGTTTCTACCTAGAATTATTTCGGGGAATTAGCTCCGGAATCTCAACGCCTTCAAATACAGAGAAGATCTCAGAAAAAACGTGAATAAAAGAAAATAGGTGAAAGCAACATACATTCAATTAGCATTCTATAGTCACATTCAAATTCTTAGTTCATTGTTAAGACAATGTTATATTACAATATAAGTTTTGTAAAACAATGATATGTAATGATCACTCTGCAATACTCTTCTTGATCAATGAATCCATATTTCATTTTAGTAAACGCAATAACGCCAGATACTATCATGCGATAATACAGCGTGGTAATTAATGTTTCACCTATTCTTACTCTCACCTAATAATTCATTCTGACATTCATATACTTTCATTTCTAACCTTACATTTCCCACTGCTTAGAATTTAAATGTGACAGATAAATGGGGCTACTTAGCTTGTACAGAAAAGTAAATATAACAGCGAGATGCCGTGTAACGATGGTAACTATATAAGTATAGATACCCAAGCCGGGCGTCACGGTGAGTGCGCCGTCAAGTAAACAATGAGCTGACGGCACTGTGAGCCATAGGTGTCCTCCCACTTCGCCTAATTTTAACCGATTAGGTACTGAAAATCTTTTAGGCAATGTGGGTATGTAACGCCTGGATGATTACTAAGGAGTAGGCAAAGTAGGAATGGGAGAGTCCACATGTAGTGATCAGAGGGGTGTTCAAAGAATGACAAAATGCAAGTGACCTTTTTATATATATTTAATAGTTTACACACAGCTTTATGCAAATCACGAAAAAAACTCAAATGCATTCATATTTGGGTGAAATGCATCTTTTTCAGAAGAGTTAAATTGTCCTATATTCGTCCATGCCCAAATAAACCAATAATAGTGATTTTGATGTCCAAAGGAAAGGTTGAAATAAAGTTCTGCTTTGGGACAATGATAGACCATTTAAAGTCACCATTTGTTTAGAAACATCTACAAATATCTTTGTAAACATTTTGGCTTGCAAAGTAACATATTTCCATTTCCATTTAACCAGAGACCATATAATAGAGTCTCTGATTTAACACATACCAATATCAATCGCCAAAACGCAGCAATATTCAAACAGTATTTACATCCATTTCACATGTAGAATGATTATATAGGGCATAAAGAGAGCCAAGGAGACATGATCTGATACACAAGTACGAGAAATATGCCACGATTAACAGCTGAAAGGAGAGATGCCACCGAATCACGGTTATAAGACTTATTCAGGACCTTAGACAGACTGGGATCACCGCAGACGGACCAAGAAGTGGACGTCCACGCTTCACAACGCCAGCTGAAGATAGGTACCTCCGTCATCACGGAAGGAGGGTAACGTATCGTTTAGTGTATTTCCACATATCCTGCTCTAAAGTCATCTCAAAGTCACATAAAGCTACTTAACTTCTTTAGCTTAATTTATGTTGTTCTAAAAAAATAATGGAGTGCTGGGAGAAGGGACACCCCCACTTGGGAACTTAGCCTGTTCCAGTGAGACTCCACGGTTCAGTGATTATAGATATTAGGCGTTCTGATATGTCTGCTCATGGGGCGATGTGGGAAAAATATAGCAGGGAATTTAGGCGAAGCGGGTATGCACCGAGCCACAAACCGTATCACTTTCAGGTAAACCAAGATAACCTGAAGATACTAACAAAAATCATGACAATTAACCATTATAACATTAATCTTAAGTTTTCAAGTTTTACAAGGTGAATATCATATATATGAGAAAAAGGTGTTTATAAGGGAAATGTTGGTAATTTGCAACATTGTACTTCTTACGTAGTTATTGAGAAGCCTGACACTTTGTGACGACTCTACAAAACAAAAAAAAACACTAAATCGACCGGTGCTTCAAGTTAATGCAGATGCATTAAATGAGAATACAATTAAAAGACATTGCCATATCTGTGCGCATTTTGTTATAGAAAGAGTATTGTATTCTCGACATATACGGTCACAGACTGGTTTTCAGCTACCAGCAATCAGACAATAGATACATGCGTGCAGAAAATATTCCCATTGAAATTACAAACACTATGACAAGTGACACGGCAGGGATAAAATACAGATTCTTGGAATATGTTGTAAACGTTACACGCGTTGGGCATGTATTGACGATAGGCTTCCACGACTCCAGTAACTAAAGCGAACGTTATATTTTAGCTGAAATAGTTTAGGCGTCTGATACACTAATGGTGGTCTAGGACAGTAACGATTTTTTATCTGGGATTCGCGATTATTCATAACCTATTGAATATCGATTTAAACTACATGGTGAGGTGAGGTGAAACTAGGTTTAACGTCGTGCTTGAGAATATTTCGCTCATATGATGACGTGCATGCGTGTGTATGTGTATGTGCGGCTGCTTGTACTAGCCCAGACTTAAGCTGGTTTTATAGTGCTAGCCCACTGAGATACCATGCCGCAGTGAAGCATGAATACCTCACTCAGACACATTATACTGACTCCGAGCCGACCAGTCCTTGTTGTACCCATTAATGCCGAGCGTCAGGCAGGGACGAACAAGTACCATATTTTAACGTCTTTTGGTATGACGCGGTCGGGGATCGAACCCGCGACCTTCTGCTCTCCGGGCGGACGCTCTAACAACTACACCACTACATGGAATTAGCATATAGCGAACGGTAAATTCGAGCAGCACTTTAGATTAAGTAAAATGATTTCATTGTGCAAGCAGGGTAACACGGCTAGAAGGACGTTAAGCAAATTTAACCAAATGAAAAAGTAACAAGTAAAAGTGACTTACCTTCAAATACAAACAGAGAGGATCTCAGGCATAGCAGGAATAACTCAGTGGCGAGCTAACACCTGTAGTTATAGCCGAGATCTCCTGTCCGAATTTGAAACAAGTCGAAGCCCGCATGACACATTGGTCATATTACGCAAGTTTGATGGTGATATTATGCAAGTTTGACAAAGCTGGGTAGTCGAAGCGGGGGGAACGTTAGCTAATTGGAGAACATAATTGCTGCTGGAATGTTACAGTTCGGGTTGGTTTCCTTTGTTAAAGGTCACATGCAACCAAAAGATCAAACATAATAAAAACACAATTATCACTTATTCATGACATATAATATACATTGCTGGTTACGAAAAAATATATAAACAAAATTATAAGCGTACAATCGCAAATCGAAAGTGCAAAATTGTGTACTTCGGTTTACTTCCCAAGAAACGAAGCAGCCGGGATACCGAACCCAGTCAGAGCGGGTGGGTGTGCACTCAAGTGTAACGGCTGGTTCATTTGCAGATGCCTTCACGGCTAATTGTGTGTATATATAGAGAGAGCTGTTGGGTTTTGTAAATACATGCTCATTTTTTGTTTATAACATTTTGCAATCAACAGACATCAAAACATGTCATGTGTTCAAGTATCACACCTGCCTGTCTGTGTAATTACATAATGTGACAGGGTCCGAACTCGGGCCATAAATCAATGCCATTCCTAACATTGTCAGCAGATGTGACAATCATATATTGTTATGGGTGGATGTGATATGTTATTAATGAGTGGTGATACAAGACAGTTTGTTTGCTTTATCATTGCAATAACAAGATCAAATATTCTATGCCTTAATCATGTGTAAGTGTAGGTCTACCTACTGTCCTCACTTCCTTGTGGGGCATGGTGGGCGAGATGGCTAAAGCGCCAGGCTGGTGATCCAGCGAGTATGAGGTGACGGGATCGAGCCCACCTGTGACCGGATGTTAAAACCTTGGAGTCAACTTTGTGTGCAGACAACCCCTAGTGTACAGTATTCAACCCCTTATGTACAGTACACAGCCCATAGTGTACAGTACACAACCCATAGTGTACAGTACACAACCCTGTCCATTTAAAAGAACCCACGAATCCGTTGGTATATGACCAGATTGTGGCCACATGAATACGTGCAAACACCTAGTTGCGGGTACAGCAACGTGCAGTAATCGTGGACAAAGTACTGTGACTATGTGTCCCAGTCCACCCAACTGTGAATGGGTACCCCGTAAGGATGGGAAAGCCGCAAAAACTCGGTGCGCCTTGTGGCAGCAAGAGTTGTATGGTCCCCAGGGAGTTGAGATTGATAATAAGATGTGTCCTTGAGATTGACATCCAATGATAGAGGGAAAAAATACCAGCGCCTTGAGCATGCACTGGTGCGTGGATATGTGCGCTATATAAATACCCAAAAATTTATGCTGGACTGTGTGATCTTCCAAATCTTCACACACTAATAAGAACAGGTACTACAAATAGAAACATCTCTGATTTCTCGAGCACTATCTTCCACCTTTGATGGTATAGTTACCGTATTTCCTCGATTACAATCCCGTGGTTCTGTTTCCTTCAGCATCCCCTTATCCCCTGGGCTTGTATTCGAGGACCGGGCTGTAATTGAGACAGTGCGGTAAAGGTGTTTGCAGTGCTCTCTTCAGTGATTAAATAGTGCTTTTTTCACGTTTTGATGGTGATGGTTTGTGTGAGTGTGGGTTTTTTAAATTCAAGCAAAGCGCGGGGCTAGTTGAATGTACGGGGTCTTCTCATTTACCCACCACCTATTGTTCTTGGTGGGCAATTCACTTCAGTCCGGGTTTACCCCTGGATATTCACCATCTTACCAACTGACTTACCTTGATGATTTTAATGCTAAAGAATTAGACAAAGGGAAGGAAATACGAGCAGGTTTTTGCGACATAAGCAAAGCATGCAATAATGTATGGCACAGTGAGTGAGTGAGTTGAGTTTTACGCCGCACTCAGCAATATTCCATCTGTATGGCGGCGGTCTGTAAATAATCGAGTCTGGACCAGACAATCCAGTGATCAACAACATGAGCATCGATCTGCGCAATTGGGAACCGATGACATGTGTCAACCAAGTCAGCGAGCCTGACCACCCGATCCCGTTAGTCGCCTTTTACGACAAGCATAGTCGCCTTTTATAGCAAGCATGGGTTGCTGAAGGGCTATTCTAACCCGGACCTTCACGGGTCGTATGGCACAGAGGAATTCAGAAATTGAAAGCTTGCGGTATTTGTGGTAAACTACTTTTATGGTTTAAAAGTTACCTCGAAGGCAGAAGACAGCGTGTCGTAATCAACGGCTTCAGTTCTGTCGTCGATGACATTGGCAGTAATATACGTCAATTTGCTGATGACACTTCGCTCTATGTAGTAATAAACGATCCGAATGAAGCAGCACAATGCCCAAAAATGATTTATCAGTAATATCATAGTTCTAAAATATGTCATATTTTCCTAAATAAATAATTGTGACTTTATAAAATAGGACTAAATAGCACATTTTGTATATTTTATTCAATAACGAGAATACTAAACGCTGTCTCAGTTAGTGTTGATCTTCGTTATCCAAGCTGTAAGATAACCAGCATTATGTGTTAAGCTTTAAGACTACATGCATGGTCCGTCCCAAGTCTATGACCTGTCAGTATCGATATACACTCGTCCTCTTATGCTTGTTTGCCAATCCCTCAGTGATTAAATGAATAAATATGTTTAAACCAAATAAGATCACCCAAATAGTATTCACCATTAGTATAACATGAAATATAGAATATTATTCAACATTAAGTCATTTAAGTATCGCATAGACATATTCATAAATACTCTTATGATCAGGTTTATCAGTTTATTTATTAGAACATATGAAAGATACAACAAAAGCTTGCACACATGTACACATTTCAATAGCCAGTTAAATGGGAAACCTCGTCACAATACTCATACGACAAATTGTTCTTTAAGGTTACACAATCTACTAATTAAATGGACTTACTTCATCTTTTTGCGTGGTGGTTTTGGTATCTTTGGTGTTAACAGCGGCGTGGCAGGTTTTCTGGGAGCAGTTCCCAATAGATAGATTCACCTCTTCTTCTCTTGATTGTGAACTTATTGTTTCGAAAAACTAAATCCTCTCCACCCCTTCCATTAGGAATGAACTTGACATTGACTTGTTGGTTAGCCGTACACAATATTATATACTAAAGGTAAAAAGTGTTCACAAAATTTAAAAAACAACAAATCAATGACCACAGTCCATTACCACCGTTCACCCACCAGGACTACATTTCACAGTGAGCAGTATAATCACTTACCCGTGAACACTAACACTCCCTAATTAATCCTTTGTAATAACTCTAGGGTGGTGGGTAAGTGAGAATGAACCGAATGTACATAACACGACGGGCGAGATGATAGGTAAGACGGTAGGTATGTCAATGACCAGTACGACGGGTTTGTTGTACCGATTGATTGACCCCACACCCACCCACCGAGAAATCTAGCATTCATCTCATAGTTTCATCCTCTAGATACACCTGCCCTGGTTCTGAAGTACAGATAACGTGCTGTTTGTACACCTTGGCTATATTTAGACCTTACGTGACTGCGATAGGCCTTGGTTCAATCGCTGTCATTTGCGCAGCTGCCCCTGACAGATTGGACGCGGTTACATGATGTGTGCCGTTCAGAACACCATGGCAAGCATGTCTTTGGAAGATCATATTCTCTCCATGTACAAAGTGATAGAATATCAGACATTCACTGGAGTGTACAAGGGGCGTATTGAAAATGCTCGAACAGGATTCAGTCGACATGTTGTTCAGGTGGATCAAGGTAATATAACGGAATGCTTGAAACAAATAAAGCGGGACGCCATCTCACGGAAGGTGTGGAGCGGGGTAACAGATCCGGATATTGACGACACTAGGGATTTGTATACTGACCCATGGAAAACATGTATCTGGTGTCTTGTGGAAGATGAAGACGTAGACCTCATCCCACCCCCAGGTGAAAGATGTCAGGTAACTCTGGTTGATGTGGGTATATTCCCCTGTCAAGGATATTACAAGTGGGAAATGGGGGTAAACATCACGGCTGTAATCGAATGACGTTGATGGTAGGATTCTACACCTGTGAGTCTTGTCAACACAGCCCCAGGATACATTTTCAGGAGCACCTGGTATTATAATATTTGGTAGTTATTCCTGCTTCTGCTACAATCGGATCCGTTCAACGCCTGTGACTTCTGTGACTCTTGTCAACAGTGCAGAGGGAAAAGTCACATTTTCAGGAATACCTGCTTTCATACTATTTGGTAGTGATTCGTGCTTATGCTTCAGTCGGATTGGTCCTACAACTGTGACTTCTGTGACTCTTGTCAACACTGCAGAAGAATACGTCACATTTGAGGGCACACATGGTATCGGGGTTTCACTACAGTATGGAGATTTCCTTGTTTCTCCATTGCACTATGGCAAAGGTTCATTAACATTCGTTTCATTCCCAATGGACGCGGCGGTCAGGGTAAGACCAAGTACTGTAGGACAGTACCCAGACAAGATGAAATACTTACATCCACTGGAAGTTTGTGAGAAAGACTGACGATCAACACTAAAGATGGCCTTGTGACATATTACAAGGATGTACACACCACCCTGGATATTATGTGTATTGCTGTGAAATATTGATGTTTCATTCATGTAATATGTGACATGATTTCATTACTTGTGTTTGAATGTATTGATGTTGTATATAAATGTACTTGGTATATATATTTAATTATTAAATAAAGATAAACATTGAGACAAAAGTAGTTTATATTTTATCACATTTGGTCCCGGATACTATTTCACAGGGAACAAAATAAGGGATTAAAGGGGATTATCATGCCTCAGTAATTTCTTCTACTGAAACAATAGGAGTTGGGAAGAATATAATAGAAAGTGAAATACATTTCCTTGTAGGGTTTATTCCCAGGAAGGCGACTCGTAAACACACAGCAAGTGGTCGAAATTGGAGAACAAAAGATGATTTTTTTTGTGATTACAAGCATCTGTGAAAGTGTAAATGT